TGGTCTATGACCAAAATAAAGAATTGCTTGCTTAATTGATGGATATACTCAGAAAAAATTACATTCCTAACAAACTTAGGCTTGATATTCATTCTCTACATAGACAGGCTTCTTACAATATCTATCTCCCATAAATAAGGCATGATCTGTATGTCAGTTTTACTTTTATTTGGTGTTTATATATTTTATATGTATTATGATAATTTGTTTCATAAACCACACAGTTCAAAAATCAATCATGAGTGAGACTGTCATGAAAATGTAATATACTGTTTTTATTTATTTACCAAATTTATACACTGCCTATCTTACTACCTAAGTGACCGTGGGGGATTTACAAATAGAAAACATAAAATCTATACAAAAATAAATGAGTTAAAAAACAAAGCTAAGAAGTTAAAAAGATGGAGGGAGTGATCTTAAGCCACTAACCACCCCTAGGTTTGCATGCCGTTATTGGATTCATGCTAATTGACATGAATCAGACCAGAATAGGGAGACGCAACCTCTCTTGATAATCTATACCAGGGGTTCCCAACGGGGGGGGGGGGTGTCCTTGCAAAAGAATAAAAAACAACAAAGGCATTAAAAAGAAAAAGTGTCCTTAAAAAAGGGAGGGAAAAAGACTACCACATATACACATATCCTTCCTAGCTGAATGCTAATTAATACATCAGTGTTAGTTTCCCATCCCTTGTGAAACAGACCAAAAGAATTTTTAGCTACTAAACTACTAAATCTGTTTACAAATTATTAGCCTGTCAACTACATATTGTATGAATAACAAAATAGTTAACAGAAAAAAACAATAAACATATTATATAAAATTGTAAAAGTAATAATTATTAACAGTAATAAAAGACAAAATTGAAATTCCAAAACTTTATTAACAAATTGCTACTATAATGAACTCTGTAGAAAATTTACCAAAGCTTCAATCCCAAATCATCACAAATATTTGATCCCAGATCAAATATCCACATTTGTTTCTTAATACCATCTCTTATCAACTGTTGATTGATTGAATACGATAAGTCCAATCTCCAAGGACAATCTATCTTCCTCCCAAAAATCAGATAAGATCATTTTCCAATTAAATGCAATAAGTCTATTTCCCACTCTCCTTCTAGCCCCTTAAAAAAGACCTATTTGCTATTTCTTCACCCAAAGAGTTTTCTGCTATTATATAAAAGCACAGGATTGAGCTTCAGGAAGGTATATGAAGTCAACTCTTTTATTTCTGAGTCTATATTTCTTCCCAGCCAATTTACTGCAGGGAAAACACAGTCCTTTTGAATGATTTCCAGAGTATATTGTTTCTGAGTTTATATTTCTTCCGAATGAGTCTGCTGCTTTGTAAACAAGTTCTTTTTGTGGGTTTAAAGTATTCAGGGTTGGTTTCTACAGAGTGTTTTCCATGGTCTTTATGAGTTCATCAAACCTTTTAGAAAAAAATTCAGTTAAAACTGCATGTTGCTAAACAATCTGTTTCCCCCCCCCTCTGAATGTCAGCCTCCTCCTCCTCTCTGTAATCCAATATGTTGTTGCTCAATGGAGTAGATAAGTAAAGCAGGGAATAAGCAAAAAACAAACAAACCCAGCAGGTATTTTCTGATTACTTTGATCCAAAAACTTTTTGCAGGTTAGTAGGCACATGCTGTGTTTCCATACAAAAAAGAAGAGTTGGCGAAAGCAGTCAAATAAATCAACGAAAGAAAGCAAAAAAAGAAAAAAAAAACCAGATAGAATCCAACAGGATTTGAAATAAGTCAGCATTCACCCAGTCAATTAACCTTTAAAGATAAAGAACAAAAGCAAAAGTTCAAAAAGTGAAGTTAAAAGTCCCAGGCATGCTTATGAAACTTTCTGCTGGTAGAAAGAGATGTAAAAAAGACTATTGACTTTCCGGAGGCTCCCACAAGGAGCTGCAGTCTTCAAGATTCCCCCTCCTGGGTGGGTCCACAGCCATCCAAAAGTCATCTTGAATCATTCCTAAGCATCCCTTTCAAATCCAGCGGGATAAGGCTTCCAAAGAACTAAGCCTGGCAGCAAATACAACAGATTGTAAGCAAGAGAAAGAACGTCTCTTACTCTTCAGCAGCCATCTTGGGGAGGAATCAGTTTCCAGATCATTCTCAAGGGTGGCCCCATGTAGAGCACATCCCATGGTGACAGACGATCTCACCCAGTGGCTTCATGTAGATGTTAAAGAGGAATAGAGAGAACCCTGAGCCCTGCAGTACCCCGCAAAGCAAGGGGCCATGGGCCAGAGCCTCTAGCTTCCAATCAATGCTGATTGGGACCCACTTCGGAGCTTACTAGCTTAAAGGGAGAGTTAAATTCAGTGTTATACACAAATATTGATATACTATTTTGATACAAATGTTGTATCAAAAAGAAAGTAATATCCTAAACAAACATACATGCACAAGCGTCTCTTAATGGGCTTAAGAGTCAAGAGTGAATTAAAGAGCAGTTAGCTGAGAGCTGGTTCAAACAGGGGCAACTACAAAAGTAAATGCAGGCATTAATAAGATGACTTGAAAGAAAGAATAGCAAGTCCTGTGAAATAAGAAGCTGACAGAATTCCAAAGAGTCATTATATGACAAGTGACATTTCAGTGAGGAACCTCTGCAGAAGGACCTCTTGGCACAGTCATGAGAAAGGAAGGGCTTGTTTGTAAATCTGCACAAATGCCCTAGCTCTTTGGGGTGAAAAGAATACAATGATGGTTTGATAACAGAAAGAAATGAGTTATAAAAGGGATAGATTTGCCAAAGGTGGAGAGGGATGCATTAGGTACAGGAGTGACACAAGTGGTGACAATAGCAGAAAAAAATGCTTATTTTTCTCCCTTTTACCCTGCAGAACCATATGACTGGCAGCAGTGTTTTCTCTCTCCTCCTCCCCTCCCCCTTCCTTTGGCTACTGTCATCCAAGGTCTATTGGCAGTCAAAGAACTAACATTTTTCTGAGTTTTGCTTTGCACATGTTTGTGAAAACTAAATTGAAGAATAATTAGTTGAAAGGACCATTTTACATTCTCTCTCTATTGGTAGCTTAGAGAATCCATATACAAATCACTATGGCTTCCTCAGATTACAAGGAATGTAACAAGGAAACAAGGAGTGCAATGTGTAGGCTGCACCTATGTTAGGAACAAGAGCTTACATTCAACTAAACATGCTTAACTTTATAATCTTAAAGTGCATAAATTGTTTTTTTTAAATCTTCAGTGTTACTGCCAAATGAGAACATATCAGAGAGGTTAAGTAGGTCTATTTTAAGGATCTTCTGTATCACTTGCTTTGAAAATCTTGTTTTAAGCTATATAGACTGATTATCCATCCTAGAGCATTGTGCTTTCTGAAATCATTCACTTAAAAGATAGTGCGCATTTTAAAACAAAAACCATTGGAATTCTTTTTCCTGAAGATAGAAAAAGACAACAGTCACAAAAAAGACAACAGTCACAAAAAATAAATCAGGACAAGTTATTTGACAAACAGGAGATTATAAAATGTATATATCATTCATTTGAATGTTTTCTTCCCAAAACCCTCTCACAACGTATGGATTTTCCGCTCCTATAATATCACTTTCTGTTGGACATAATATAGTGTTCATGAGCTAAAAAGGCAGGTCTAGAAAGTCTATGGCACCAAAAGGTCTCTCTCTTAATCGTCTTAACTGGAAAAAGAAAAAATCAGAAACAAGGAGAGAATATGCTGGAAAATAATCAAATGCCAGAGACCACGTGGGTGAAAAATACAACATAAAGTAGTGACACATGATACTAGGTATCTAAAGCAAATCTGAAAAACCAGACAATCCAATTTTAAGATGTCTTCTACATTAATTATTTTACTGGGGCAAGTAAATTGAAAACAAATGATAAAACATTAGATTTCTCAGTGTTTTCATTGTTGTCCTAAAGCAGCTGGAATGTCTCCAGATGTGACCAAAGCAGTGGCACTGATAAGCAACAACCTTTTCCCATTATGCCATTTTCCAGATTGAAATCAGTTATCCAAGTCAAAGCTGCCCTCAATGCCTCTGACTTTTTTCAGAACAAATAGGTGCGTGTGATACATGTGATTGAACTGAACAAAAGACACTCAAAAAAGCAATTAAAATTCACTCTCTCCTAGGTGGTGCTCCAGTGAAATCTAGAAAATCTGGACACGCTAAGCCATTATGTTTTCTGAGTCTGGGTGCACTGTAACTTTTTTGTCTTGGCCCTTAGCTCCAGTGCTTTTTCAAACTCTCTAATAGGTATGCAGTAACAGTGTAACTTTATCTCTTTATTTCCCATGCACTCATTCAGCAAACTCAGGCCACACATTGCCATAGAATTATGATCTTGCTGTTCAATGGCCTGATCCAACATCAGTCATAACAACATCACGCAAATGTCAATGAAATCTAGAAAAGGTATTCAGAAGTCTAGGCTTTCTAGAACTTTCAGAACAACAGGTGAATGTTTGAATAGATTAGCAAGCAGCATCTTGTTGGATGACATGTATTATATTTTTAAAAGATGTCATCAGTCTCCAATTGTGAATCTCTTGGCCATGAACCTTAATCCACTACTTTGCTCAAATAACAATTATTAGGGACAGAAAAGACACAACGAGGCAGAGGAATTTAAAGCTGACAATGCTGTCATAGAGTTCAACAGGCAGAAAGACATCATTCCAATAGAAAATTCCCCCATAAGGGGAGCCGAGGTCTTCTTTCCATACCGTTCCCCCAACTCTGACCCAATGGCAAATAACAGAAGACAAATAGAAAAAGAACCGGAAGGAAGGGCGCCACCGAGAATCGCTCCCTTTCACAATGCAGCAATCCACACGGAGAAACGCGAGCGGACCTCCGGCGTTAAAGACGCGAGGGGGCTCGGCCCTCGGTCCACAAGGCGGCCGGGAGATCGGGGAGGGGAAATGGCGCGCCTTTGGTAACCGAGGCTGGCAGCCCACCGGCGAGGCAACTTACTCACCGCAGTCGGCGCACAGGATCCGGCCCACGTCCTTCTTGAGGTTCCTGCCGCTGGTGTCCAACGGGGCGAAGGAGGTCTTGAAGACCAGCGGCTGCTCGGTGGGCTCCAGGAAGAAGATGTAGCGGTGGTTACGCTTGACTTTGAAGCAGGGCGCCGGCATGGAGCCCACGCGGATGAGCTGCTCCCTCTGGAGCCCACCGCTGTTGAGGGGCCACAAGTCCAGGACCTTCACCAGAATGCCGGACGTCGGCGTCTCCTCCCTGCTCCAGTTGCCGGTCGCCTGCGTCGGAGAATCCGCCGGCGGCAGAGCCTGCACCTTGCCCTCCAGCACCACGGCTGCCGAGTACGCCTGGTCCTGCACCGAGCGCAGACTAGGCGAGTAACAGGCGAGCGACACGCCAATCAGCCACATGGAAAAGCCGGGCGCCGTCAGAGCGCTCCTCATGCCGAGACAGCCGCAGCCCAAGAGCCTCTCGCCCCTGGCCCTCGTCCTCCTCGCGCTGCCCAAGCCGCCGGCCCAGGATGGGAGATGCCGCAGGCCGGCGGTCCCGCTCCTCCACCTCCTGCTGTTGCCGCCGCCGCCGCCGCCGGCGGAGCTCTTCTAACGCCTTCCGCTCCCGCCGCCGCCGCTGCTGCACTGAGCCTCCCGGTCCTCGCCTTCCCTCAGGAACGGCACTGAGCAGCAGCACCAGTCCTGCCGCATCCAGCCGGGCCATTTGCAGGACGCCGACGCGGCTCCAGCTGCAAAACCGGAAGCGGCGTAAGCTCGGGCCCAGCCACGGAGCTGCGCAGGGGCTGCGGAACCCTTCCCTCCTCCCTCCCGAGGAGGACTCCTGCTCCGAACACCTAAGAGAAGGGCGGCCGGAGGGAGGCGGCTTATCTCTGGCCCACTCGGGGGAGAAGGAGGAGGAGGGCTGGAGGCTCCTTCATCCGCGCCCCGCGCCCCGCCTTCTGCATCAGGTCAAGGAGAGCGGCAGCGGACCCGGAGCCTCCCTTGAGCACCGTCGCGAGCAGCGCGCATCCCAGCTCGCCGAGCGTGGCTCCCGGCTGGGTAGAGCGCGGCCGAAGGTGGCTTCAGCGGAGTCCTCGGGGATTGCTGGCGGCCCCCAGCGAGGCTCCCGTGCGATTTCGCCCCACTTTCACCTACCTCTAGTCCATGCTGTGGAGGACACCCTCGATTCGCCGGCCTGAAGGCGGCAGCCACCTGCTTCGCGGAGGACGCGAGCCGCAAGCGCTGCAACAAGGTGGGCGAGGCGGGCGAGCTCCAAGTCTCGGGGGGTCCCATTCAATTCGTAAGACGGAACCGCGCGAGAGTTCGACTGCCGGGCCTGCATCGGGGGCAGCCGCGTGTGGGCAAGGGTGCCGAAAGAGGACAGAACGCGCGCGCCTACCCCAACCCACGCACGCCACCCCGGAGAGCCGAACTGCATTCCGGGGACGCCCCTCCCGGAAGGCTCGGCTGCCCATCTGCTCGCAAATGCCGGAGTCCCCAGGAATTGGAGGGGAGCTTCCCTGTTCCCCAGACTGAACAAGCCCCGGCGCTTCTCGTCGAGCTGAACTGGCTGGGCGATTTGTTTCCTCGGCCAAGTTCACCGAGAGGGGAGGGCTTTGGGAAGGAGGGATCCCCCTCATTTGCATAAGTTGCTGCCCAGCGGAATTCTTTGGGGGCGTCCACTCCTCACCGATTGACCACCGCGGAGAAAATCAAAAGGATACTTTGAAGCGGATTCAGCCCAAGGCACCCGAATTACGGAGAACCCCTGCATGTATTATTTGGCTAGCAAACCCGGCACAGAAATGTAATAAATAAGTATTATTGGCAGAGAGATTCTGGTTTCTAGAAAATTCTTAGTATTTTGTGTCAGTCAACTTTGCAATTAAACAGTAGTGAACTGTGGAAGTCATCCAGAAGTTTACATTGGTCTATATCTACCGGTAGGCTTGCCGAATGAAAACTCATTTAGTAGTTGAAAGAAAGAGGAAAGAAAGGTACTCAGATTTTTTCAGTATGATATACAATTGTTAATGATTATAAAGTTTCCCTTTGTATTCATCCTGAAAAAAAATCTTAAATATCAAAGGCTGTCCAGTAAAAATATTTTCTGTTCTTTTCATCTAAAGATACATTAATCTGTCATTTGACTAACCATTTTAGTGCAAAATTTCTTCAATTGTTTGAACTTTACAAACTTTACAGACTTGTTTAAAGTAGAGCATAGGTTAGAAATCCAGAAAGAAAAAAGTTGTTTGCATTCATGGACAAATTCAGACCTGAATTATCCAGAGGGATAAGCCTCTGGAGGTAAAATCTTGTATGGATACAGTCCCAAAGATGCTTTTTCACAAGGCAACTGGACTTTCTTGTTTGTTGGAGCGGTGCTTTCTGCAGGATGTTTTCTGCCCTGTGTCCCTTTATTGCTGGAACACAGGCACAGGCTGTTGGGGATGAGCCTGTGTTGTCTGCATCTCAAACTGAAATGCAAATGATTCCTGTAGCCAGCAATTTTTCTGGAAATCCGTTCATACTCCCGCAGCATTCAAAGGGTGTTCATCCCAAAGTGCAAAGCTAAATGTCTATGGAGATTCTCAGTCATCCAGGTCATAGTTATCCCAAAGATGCTTTTTCACGAGGCAACTGGACTTTCTTGTTTAAATAAGAAAGGGTTTTTCTCCTTTGCTGAGTTAAAGTGCTGACCTCTCATTCTTGAGTCAGCAGAAAATTATACTGAGATTTGCCAATCCCTACTCTGAGCCTCTTGCTCATCTTACAAGTTGCAGCAGCAGTGAAAATTTTTAATATAAAAATCTGTCAGCAAGTACATTTTGGAGCAGCCAGAGCTTCTTGGGGGGGGGGCGGTGACGTGTAAAGCATATCAGAAACATCTTAAGCATAAAATGATGTGGGCATAGGTCCCTCTTGCAGTGGTTTTCCATTTCCTTATGATCCACTGCTGAGCAAAGACTCTCCTAGCCACAGCCTTGATCTGCTACTCAAGTAGGAGCTGAGGGTCCAAGAGGATCACCATGTCACTGACCTGCACCGCCAGAGCAAATAAAACCTGGGCATCGAAATATTATTAACATAATTATAACTATGAATCCATATTTAAATTTTAGAAGTTTGAAAACGTGAAAACTATGTTTTTTTTCCTGATTGTTCCTTCCATTTCCATCAAATAATCCTTCCCCTATAAAATATTGCTGACTTTTCTATTAAGTTATTTAATTGAGAAGAATCCATGCTTTCTGTAAGATAGAGCATGATATGATTAAAGACTAGATTATTGAAGGAAAATCTAGGAGATCCATCTATCTTGATGGTTACAACTTTTAAACAGTATAAGTTCAATTTTTTAAGTGTGTAGTGTTTTACTTGCAAACATAAGCAGTATTTGAAGAATGATGTATACATTCAAAGAACCTCTTGAAAGAACCTCTTCATTGTACAAAATTCTTAAATACAATAGAGTACCTTGAAATTCTTTAAAAAGTATGGAAAAAAGACTTGGGATGAGAACTTGATGAGTCAGTTTAGAACGATGAGTCATCTTGGAAGTTTTTAATTCCCATGAAATCTATCTTGGTAAGTGACCTAGAATTAATTGTACAATAATTTACAGATGGTGTCCTTTAAAATAACATATTTATCAAAATTTGTTTTGGAAAGGTTGTAATCAACCTAAGATCCACTATTATTTCTGATGGCAGTGTGTGTTTCATTTTTGTTAAACTGTGTATCAATTACCCCAAAATTCTTGATAATTTCAGTTTTTTTCTCAAACACTGCAAAGAAATTCATCCAGTTCCCACATCCCATCAGTTAGTAGGCATATAAGGTCTATTGCCACACACTCAGGATAATCTTTTTCTCTTATTGATGTCACTTTCTGTGGAATTCTGCTACTTTAGTTTGATTACTCTGTTCTTTTCATATCAAAGCTTCATGCAATGCTAAACCCAATTTTAGAATGTGTCATGTCCACAATAGTCCAATCATTACCTCCTAAAATAGACTATTCAACAATTAAAGGGAAAAAATCATTAGTTCCAATATCCATTGTACTCATCTGGGATTTAAAAAACAAAAACAAAAATCCCTGCTTTTCTTATATAATTTAAATTAGTTTAGTTAATAAAAAGCTTTCATGAAGTGTTTTGGAGAACTCAAGATACATGCTTGCTATTTTGTGATATTTTGATTTGTCTTTAGAAACAAGCTAATAAACTTTAGAACTTTTCTTAGGGATAAATCTGGTCATGTTTGTTTTCTGACTGCAACATTGGTATATTTGTATTATCAAACAATATTTGTATATTCATATATATGAAAAACACATTTTCCAACTCAGTTATAAAATTAGTAACTGTTAATGTTAGATTATCACTTCTAACTACCACTAGATGGTAGTGTATACAGTTTGTTTTATTTCTAAATATATTTCCAATTTTCATAAAAAAGAGCAAATCATAGAATCATAGGGCGCGAAGGGACCTTGGAGGCTGCATTCTGTTCTGCCTCAGGCACAATGGATTGGTTCCTTTTTAAATATTTCTCCAACCAATGCTTATTTTAGAATCTACACATCTTTGTTGGTGAGTTAACCAAGACTTAGCAATTCATTTAGTGGCCATGGGAGAAAGTATAGTTCTCATCATCCTATGGAACGTGTTTCTTGGTCTGGTCTACCTGAAAGAGCTGACAGGACATCTGGCATTTAGGAACAGTACAAGGCCAGATTTAAGTTCACAAAAGTAACCTAAAGACCACCCATCTTATCTATTTCAACCAGAAAAGATATGAGACACAAAATATCTGATTGCCTTCTTCTCAACTGGCAGGATGTTTTATCCTGTTCATGCCATCTATTGGATACATTTAAAATCTAGTGTGCTATTCCACTAATACCATTAAATATTGTTAAGGGGACATCACTTATTTAGTGATTGTTCTAATCAGCATTTTGAGATCTTTTATGGGATTAGTTTGCATTCAGTTATTCTATAGGCCTGGCCTTACTAGGATCACACAAAGTTATTTGTCCAATGAAAGTATCTCACCTATATTCTCTGGATTAAACTATGCATCATGATTTGTTTTTTGGCAGATCAGTTCCTGGACTTTCATCAATATACACAAGAAGTTAATAAGGGGTTTTTTTTCTCCCTTTAACTCAAAAATGGATAATTGGTAGGTTTTGTTTTTTTTATTTGCCTTCATTTACAATCAGAGTTGAGTTTGAGTTTGAGTTTGAGTTTTATTGTATTTATATCCCGCCCTTCTCCTTGCGGACTCAGGGCGGCTAACAGCCTAATAAAACAGATACAAAAATACCAAAGTAACTATAGTTAAAAACATAATTAAAAAAGATATTAATATTGGCCTATGTTAATTTAAAATATTTTAAAACCCAGCTAAAAAATTCCCCTAGGCCANCGGCACCCTGAGGAGACCCACTCTGTGGGAGCGTACTGGCCGATGGGAGGTAATCTGAGGCAGAAGGTTGGGAGGCCTACGGGTGATAGATTTCAACTAAGAATATTTGTGCATGAAACAGATAGTGTTCCTCCCAATGACAGACTCTTGGGCTCCCCGTGTAATCAGATCTACATCATATAGAGCTTTAAAGATGATCACTAGCTTTTTAAATTGACTCCTGAAGTTTACTGCCAACTAGTGCATGGCTAAAAAGAATGTTTCCTGCAGTAGCAGATTCCA